TTTAAACGCATGCGAAACACGTCGATCTTTCCGATACAATTATATGATATTTGGCTGAAAATACAAACAAAAAATCAAACAAATGAATTAAATAATAAATAAATTCATATGCAGATTAAATGTGCATCACAATAGTCTCTAAAAATAAAATGAAGGTTGTTGTTTTAATCCAATACTGTATGTTTCAATTAAATGTGAACTTCTCTTTTTGACCCAATGACTGGGTTTGCACATATTTCACAACTCAGCATTTTTAGAGCTGTTTAGAGTCTGTGTGTGCGTTCATTTTGTCGCTTTAAAAACAGAGCCGGATTACAGGCTGATATAAGGAAGCAGATATAATTTGTTGTAGAATATTGCTGTCTCTCTCTGTTTATTAATTAATTAATGCATTCGTTATTCAATTAAACTGGTTGAATTTGCCTTCATGAGGCTGGTTTAATGCACATAAAGACGTCGATTTTCGGAATGTGGGCGTCACGGTGGTGCAGTGGGTAGCACAATCGCCTCACAGCAATAGGGTCGCTGGTTTGAGTCCCGGTTGGGTCAGTTGGCATTTCAGTGTATTTGCATGTTCTCCTCGTGTTGGCGTGGGTTTCCTCCGGGTGCTCCGGTTACAGTCCAAACACATGCGCTATAGGGGAACTGATCAACTAAATTGTCCGTAGTGTATGAGTGTGTATGGATGTTCCCCAGTGATGGGTTGTATAGGGCATCCGCTGCGTAAAACATATGCTGGATGAGTTGGCGGTTCATTCCGCTGTGACGACCGCAGATTAATAAAGGGAGTAAGCCGACAACAAAATGAATGAATGATTTTCGAGATGCTGTTCGGATGAGATTAGATTTAAATAAATAAATATGTAAATATAGATTAAATTACATCTATATTTTAAAACGTGTTTTTTGATGAAATGCATCAAAATAAAATAATACAATATGGACAAACTCAGTGTTGGGTTAATTTATTAATTTAATTTAAACTACACTTTTTAAATGATTGGGTTTGCACATACCCAACAGTATTAATTGATCATTATTATGATGATTATTAATATTATTATGATTATTATTATTGAAGCAACCCAGCATTTTCTAGAGTTTTAATCAGTTCTTGTATCTGTTTTGACCTCGAATTTCAAATATTTATTTATAAATAACAAAAAAAAGCGGTTTATGTAGGCTACAAAATATGCTAATGCATTGGATTAAATGTGTCTGTGCGCAAAATTGCAATATTTTGTATTTGGGTGTAATACAGGCTTATTTGTATTCTTATTTTGTATTGTTTGGTGTGTTTTCAATCCTGAATATGTAAATCGTGTCATGATCACATAATGCACCTGCTTAACCAGCGCGTGAGAAACACCCGCAATAATTCACTACTAATTATAATTACATGATGTGAATGACTGACAGTATCACATGACACGTTTATAGTAAATACTATAGTGTTTATGCACTACATTAAAGTGTATTGTATTATAGTGTCTACAACTCTTAAATTCGTAAATGTTCCAGCAAACTGTAATATAGTGAACTGATTAACTGTAATGAACACTGTAATACACTTTAGTCTTTACTATACAGTAAACTGTGTTGTACTGTGGTATAATATATATATAGTTGTGGAAAACTACAGTTAATCAGTTCACTATATTACAGTTTGCTGGAACATTTACGAATTTAAGAGTTGTAGACACTATAATACAATACACTTTAATGTAGTGCATAAACACTATAGTATTTACTATAAACGTGTCATGTGATACTGTCAGTCATTCACATCATGTAATTATAATTAGTAGTGAATTATTGCGGGTGTTTCTCACGCGCTGGTTAAGCAGGTGCATTATGTGATCATGACACGATTTACATATTCAGGATTGAAAACACACCAAACAATACAAAATAAGAATACAAATAAGCCTGTATTACACCCAAATACAAAATATTGCAATTTTGCGCACAGACACATTTAATCCAATGCATTAGCATATTTTGTAGCCTACATAAACCGCTTTTTTTTGTTATTTATAAATAAATATTTGAAATTCGAGGTCAAAACAGATACAAGAACTGATTAAAACTCTAGAAAATGCTGGGTTGCTTCAATAATAATAATCATAATAATATTAATAATCATCATAATAATGATCAATTAATACTGTTGGGTATGTGCAAACCCAATCATTTAAAAAGTGTAGTTTAAATTAAATTAATAAATTAACCCAACACTGAGTTTGTCCATATTGTATTATTTTATTTTGATGCATTTCATCAAAAAACACGTTTTAAAATATAGATGTAATTTAATCTATATTTACATATTTATTTATTTAAATCTAATCTCATCCGAACAGCATCTCGAAAATCATTCATTCATTTTGTTGTCGGCTTACTCCCTTTATTAATCTGCGGTCGTCACAGCGGAATGAACGGCCAACTCATCCAGCATTTGTTTTACGCAATGGATGCCCTTCCAGCTTCAACCCATCACTGGGAAACATCCATAACACACTCATTTACTATGGACAATTTTAGCTTATACCCAATTCACCTACAGCGCATGTCTTTGGACTTGTGGGGAAACCCGGAGCACCCGGAGGAAACCCACGCCAACACGAGG